GACCCATATGAAAACCCATAAGGATCACGCACGCCGCTGAATTTGCTTTCTCGCGGGATGGGATGTTGGAGGGGGGGATGAATAATGCACTCTCGTGCCCCTTTGTTATAAATCACTAGTGTGTAGGTATAGGTACACTGTGCACCCATACAGCGGAGGATATCTCATTGGTTCCCCCCCCCCGCCCCCTCCCTCTCTTGTATCCCCGAGATTTTCGATCGCTTTCGATGGGTCCTCGCGCACGCGGTGACAAAAGAGAGATGCCCGCGAGATTGCGAAGGCAGAGTGCGTGTGTATATTTATATACATGTATATAGGAGAGGCATATCGAGGAGACAGGGAGATACTTGCGCGGCGAATAATAACCATCAAGGTAAAATAAAAAAAAGGAAAAATGATACACAACAAGACAAATGCGCCCGTGGCGGGAAAATAAAGGCCAAAAGGGGGTACACCTTGTATAATATACGTATGTGCAAGTCCATATGGTCCGATGCTGATGATGATGGTGGTGGTGGTGGTGATGGTGGTGCGGACAACATTGTTGTATATATACAACCAGCGGTACAGAAGAAGAAGGATTGGACTGCTCATCCGCGCGTACATCTTATTGTGTACGTATAAATATGTATATATATATAAACATGCATCCGCGCAGTGAGGGGCTGAAGGAGACAAAAAAGAGTGCGATGTACAAAAAAAAAAAAAAAAAACAGAGGAGAGAGAGGAAGAGTTTATGTATATTTTTATAGGGGATTTCCTTGTGTACTTATATATATGTATTATCTATAGCGATCGAGAGAGTGAAAGTGACGAGGTGCATTAGGGAGTAGGTTCGAGATAAGGAGGATATTTAGAATAATTATGCAGCAAGTTGTCACGAAGGTGATAGCCACCGGTATGACTTATTATACCTGTACCTCGTTCTTTCGGCTGTGCTCGAACCATATAATATACAGTATAGGAATCATTTAAGATGATGATGATAGAAAAAAAAAAAAAAAAAAAGGGGGGGGGGTAATCACAACGATAAAGCACGACCCTCTGGGGGTAGGTATATGTAAGCTGTTGAGCTTATGCGATCAATTATCATCCACTTCCTTAATTACACCCAAAAGTATCACATGTGTGTGTATAACACACGCGAGCTCGCACCGGTACAACAAGTACGCCCGGATTGATTGAGACACGAAGGAGAGTGAGAGAGGTGAATATACCTTAATTGCTCGGCTGACAAGTGGTATATCATTCGCAGCAGCCCTCGTGCGGGAAGTTTCTTCATCTAATGCTCTTCGTGTCTCTCGTGTAGCCGCACAGCTTTAGGATACATAATACACAACGACCTCCCCCCCCATTCGTGCTCTTTCCCTCTTCCTCCTTAGGCTTCGTTCTTCCAATCGTTAGCGAAGTTGGTTAACCATTGCAACATCGGTCGATTCATTTATCCACCATATATATATACATAGTGAACCGAGCGTTACATATAAATATACTAATTGCAGTCCATAGTGCAAGGAGGAGGGGGTATATTTATATGCGAGGGACACTCTTTACATTAGTTCAGCGCATTGTTATCGGGCAAGGAAAAATTTGTGCTCATTTTTCGGTACAAATAATAAATTGGCAATGATTGTGGCGTCTTGAGGCCAATTCAGCGACGTTGGACTTGGATAAAAAAAAAAAAAAAAAAAAAAAAAAAAAAGAAAAGAAAAGAAAAGAAAAACCTATATGTACACGGTACATTGTCATCTTCGCGCGAAGCCAGCAAAATGCACCGGTGCATGAAATATGAAGCCACAACCGAGTAGAAGGTACAAAATTGTAAGTGCACGGGGTCCAACGGACTCTCTCGAGAGCATCCATTACTTCCCTGTACAAAAATATACATATATACGTATACCACGTATAGCCGGTTGATTCCGATGATTACAACGACGACGGCGTACACAACAGCCGGGACTCTGAGGGCACGATCTGCAAAAGTATAGGTAGTACAGAAAGAGGAGGAAGAAAGGACGTGCCCGCGCCCCGTTGTTCTTGTACAGGTATTCATACACACGGCATCCATGCGCTCCGTGAGTAATAGAAGATTAGGGGACTGAAAAAATAAAATGCAAAAAAAAAAACAAAAAAAAAACGGGAAAAGAAATCGCGAGGAGGGGAGGAGGAAAAGAACCGCTGCGGCTCCGCGAGCATCGGCTATACGTAGAGAACATCGCATCGTATCGGGCAAGAGATAGAGAAAAGGCCAAAGGGATAAGCCGAGCATGTATAGGTGCAGCATATATATACGAGAGAACAACGAGAGGCGGCGCTGGATCCACGGGGACTCCGTTGTGATATTACGTGCACCGACTCTGTACATCGCGGAAGGGAAAAGGAACACTTGGCGGGCCTATGGGGGGGGGGGGGGTGAGTAAGATGCTATCGGAGGTACCAAGAGAAAAGAGTTAGGCAGAGTCGCCCAGCGGGGGTTTTCTCTGGGTCATTTCACAGAGTAGGAGGAGGAGGAGGGACTACTCTCTTTATATACATATACCTACTGTGTATTATATCCTCGGGCGTCGTTACTGCGCGCCCCTGCCCTCGTCCTATATACGTACACACACACATATATATATGTATTTATGTATTTATGTATTTTATTCCGATATATCCTTCTTTCCCATTTTTCCTGCATGCCCACCACCACGTGTACGTACATATATACACATGCATACGCGTGTAAATAATAACGAGCTATAAATTATCCTCCCGAGGACAGTAACAATCGAAATGCCTCTGTACTCCCTGATGATGTTTTTTGCTCCGGCAAAACACGAAATTTCCGTCATTTGTCGTCGTGATTTGTGCGCGCGAGCTTTGACGAGCTTAAGCTCTCCACTCGGGGCTCCCCCGTCGAGTGTCCATTGTATTATTATTTTACAGGGGGGGGAGGTGATGGCCCGCTGGTTTTCTCGGGATGACGAATCGGTCGGGATACGCCGAGGCTTTTCCGATGGGCGCTCGGGATTCGCGGACGCCCCGATATCTTTTGCGCACTCCACGACGAGATTGAGCGAGATTTCTCCTTCTTTTTCCGCCTGGTATGCAATAGTGATTATGCACATGTATGAAGAAGGACACTCTTTCGAAAGCGCGTATCAACCCGAATAATTGATGGGTTACATTATAGCGCTTGGGAACGAGTGAAAGAGAGAGAGAGAGAGAGAAAAAAACCACAAAATTCTCCTCGGGGCATTAATCAGCGGTAGGTAGAGAGAGATCCAAAAATAATCAGCGATAAAAAGCTGGCGGGGAGAGTGCTCGTAAATTCCGGGACTAAATGTCTCGATTGGCCATGCAACGGTTTTCGGCTCGGACGGAAGGATTATCTTCTCAAAATTTTTATCCTCCCACCCCCACCACCTCGGGCGAGCACGAGGCTCGTGTTCAACAACGTTATCCCTTCGGATTGGGGAAGGTAACAAAAAAATGACAAAACAACTGTACGCAAGTTTTTAATCAACGCGCGCGCGTGCTGGGGGTTTAATAAGATTATTATCGCGGGAGTGGGAATTTTTAAACGGAGAGATGTATCGGCGAGGCTATTGTGTACCGTATCGAAATGTTTAATGGCTCTACCGTGTAATATTAAGGACGGGCATAGCGGTCAATTAAGGGGTGACCCCGATAACCACAATAGACCTAACCGTTATAGGTGATGGAGTGTGCGTAAAAAGGCTTAGCTCACGATTTTAATGTATACCTACTACTCGTATGAAGAAATTGGTAAAAGGGACGACATCGGAAGGAGTAGAAAGAGTCAGATGAAGAATAGGCCTTTTATATATATATATATATATGTATATATATACACCTGTATACAATATAAGGGGGAGGGAGGAGTCGTCTCCTCCATGGTCCTGAAAGAGCACGCATTATTTGGGCGAGATGGCCGACGATTACTCTGTGGCTCGTCTTCTTATATATATACTCTTTATCTCTTCTTCTCGTCGTTCGGACGTGTATTATGTCCCCCGCTGCCAGTGCGCGCACAAGCGCACCGCACGCGCCCTCTCCTCATGATTTAGCTTCGATCTGTGTTTCCTCGTGTACATAATAATATATATACCTTGTTTCTCCTTTTTTTCTTTCTTTCTACCTTATATACACCCGTCTTGTACATTTGTACGTGCTGTGTAGAGAGAGAGAGAGAGCAACGTGTGACACAGCACGCGTGCCCCAACCCCCCCCCCCCTCTGTTCGCGCGCCGCGGGATCATTGAGATATTGCGCATGAAATATGGAAATTTTCGCGAGTTCTGATACTCGAACGATACGAGGAAATTCATTGCCGGACGCCGAGCGCGAGAGAAACAATGCCACGCGCAGCGCGAGAGCGCAATAAATATAATCCGAACGATAAATTCATCTCGCGAGCATTCGTGTATATATTTATTATATACATGGCTTTTTCAGAGTTATTTCAATACTCGTCGTCCGCGGCTTCTTTTTTTTCCCCCTCTTTGGCTAATACACCGTGTGCTTTTGCTTTTTCGACCGAGCATCTTTATTTCCTTTTTTTTTTTTTTTCCTCCTAAGTAAGTAATCTTCTCTTTTCATTTCGGTCCGCCAAGAATCCAGCGTGTCCAACCGAAAAAGTGGATCCATTTGGTTACGCGTGGAGGCGGATATCGGTTTCTCGAGTGACGTGGAATTTATTACGTATTCACGGAGGAGGATTCGCCGCTTTTCGGGAAAGAAATCGTTAAAAGGCCGCTCGTGTGCTTTCGTCCATTGGCCACGGTTGTCCCCCCCCCCCTTTTTTTTTCATAAACGCAAGTCTTTTGAATAATCGTTATACCGCAGTGGTAATAGTTACTTCTGGGCCCACAATTGTATTATATATATTTCATGGTATTCCACTTGGAAATAACATATTATGATTTCCGAGTCATTATATTCGTACTGTCATTAAAGAGTGATAACCAAAAATGATCCGTTTCCTTTTCGTTGCAGGTGCGCGTGAGGGTGGAGGACAAAAACGACGTAGCGCCGAGGTGGGCTCCCGGGCCCTGGAGGTTCAACGTCTCGGAGGAAGCGCCACTCAATACCCTCGTCGCGGTCCTCAAAACCCACGACCCGGATACCGTTGGCACCGTCAAATACACCATCGTCAGCTCGACGAAAAATCCACACGGTGACGAGGAAAGCTACAGGTGTGTATCTGCACTTTTCTTTTTTTTTTTTTTTTTGGTTGGGATGCAATAAAATATAACATAATTAATGAATGGAAAAGTAAGGGAAAAATGGACAAGTATGTTAGCGCATGAAAGAATGAAAAACCAAAACGAGAGGAAGAACCTTTGAAAAAGCAGTTTTTGTTTTTGTTTCCGAGGGAGCACCATCCTCGTATTTGTTACTTTGCCTTCTGCTCGCGGGAAAGACAACTTTACAGCTTTCTTTTAATTTATGAATGCATAACCCGCGCAAGGTACACCTATACGGGGTCTGTATCCATCGAATTTACGCGCAGTTGTCTCGATTATTAGCGTTTAATTGGACAGCCCCCCCCCCTC